AAAGGATGCCTTTTTTGAAAACCTTATCATAGATACTCTTTTTTAGTCTCAACAAACAACTATTGTGATAACCCAAGTTCTGATCCATTAAAATATTGTCACCATTGGAAATTAGAATTTACAATTTTATCTTTTTGGTATAACTTTCTGGGAATGTTTCCAATCTAGGAGTGCTTCAACAAGAGCACACTTGATCTATAGTTTCATAAAGAAATTTCAACAAAAATATAAAAGACTACTTAAATACTTAAGAGATTTATTTCAATATATATGTAAAGGTTTTTACAATCTCACCATCTTAAGAAACTAGCATCCTCAATAGTGGCTTAACTGAGCTATACTGACAAGCGAGCAGACTCGGGGTTGACTCAATAAGTGGCTCGCGAGCTAAGCTCGATGAGCTAACAAGCCAAGCTCAAGTCAGCCCCAACTTGACCGTTAACTAGTGAGTTGGCTCGTTTAAGAAAATATTAATGTAAAATTCACTCAAAACATATTAAAATTAAAAATTTTATATTATAAAGTATTAAAAATATTTAAGAAATTAATATTTTTTTTATTTTATATCAAGAGATTTCTTATTATTTGTATCCTAATTATTCATTCTTTTTATCATTTTATTATAACGCTAGTTTGATTAATATTATTTTCACAACTTTCATCATAAACAAGTCAGCTCGTGTGTCGGCACAAACTCACGGAATTAAACTCGTGCTCAAAATTGATTAATTAATGAAACTCAAGCTCAAGTTCAAGCTGAGGGTGGCTCAAGCTCGATTCACTTATTTACACCCTATCTCAAAACTAGCCTTACACAACCCATAGTCCTTCACCAGGCCAGACCACCTACAAGTTCAAGAGGGAGATTTTTTCATGTACCACTTCAAAAAAAATTGATTTATGAAATGACTCCCATGGCAGTGTAGTTTACAACGGATGACACATAGCTCCCATTGTGAATGGCATATTGCTTTAATACCATTATTGATAGCTAGGGTTGTAATCGAGTCGAGTTTATCATGGATTAGATTTGTCTTGGTTAAATCATAGGTTGTTCATGTTTAGTTTGAGCTTAAGTCTTTCACATATGTTTGCATAAACATTAGTATTTACATATTTCACAAAAAAAAATTATATATTTACATATAAAGCACCTAAAACTTCAAATTAAAGACAGAATAGTACTTTGCAACGCACTTCGTTACTTTTCATTTAGAGTCACAAGAGAAGATGCAAATGAGGTGCGACCATCCATTGCTAACCCTCTTTGCCCTTAAGGCTGCACAAAATTAAGTTTATCTCTGATTTTTGCAGAAAAAAGTGGCCACAAGCAGGTAAAACACTTCTTTCATAGCATAGTTGATAAAAAGCAGGGCATCGTTCAAATTGGGACGATGGAGGCAAGCTTCAAATCGCATGTGGCCTTGAGTTCCTTGGAGCATAAGAGGTTAGCAAGGGCAAGAACTTCGAGTATGGTGTCCGGCGGGTAGCCATTGTTATCTATAGCTTTGAAGGTGTGCATAGCACTAGCAAAGATGTTGTCATGGGTGAAGTTGATGTGTTTGCAAGAAGTCTCGGCAACATCGCTATAAAGCAATGTGAAAAAAAGTCTGGAGGCGGAGGCGACAATGCTAGAGCGAATGTTTGAGATCTTCTCATTGCTAATGCAAAACCAAAGGCTTCCTCTTTCACAAACAACTAATGAGCTACTCCAAACCACAAAAGTTAATAGATTGATATTTATGTGTTCATTTTGAAGTTTTAGGTGTTTTAAAAGTTTAGGAGTGAAATATGTAAATACAAAAGTTTTAAGTGTTATGTTTGTAAAAACACTAATTTTTAAATGGTAATAATTGATTTGTATTTGACTTGTTAGAATGAGAAATTTATTTTTATATAAAATTAAAATTTTGATGTATACTTGATTTTTCATATAAAGCTAATAAGCAACTTAAAATTTTTAATAAGTAATTAAGTTTTCATATAAAGCTAGTAAACAAGATAAAATTTTGAATAAGTACTTGATTTTTAAAATTAATTAACAAAAAATTTTATAAATCTAGATAAATAAGCAATTGAATAAATTTCAAATTAACATTTAATAAGTCTGCACCTAATAAATAAAATAATATATAAGTTGTAAATAAGTTTTCTCGCAATTACATAAATTAAATGAGTACAAACAAACTAGTTCATTAAAATAAAAAAAAATCAGAAAAAAATACCGTAAATTTATATACATATTGATATTAAATTATAATATATTAACTGTTAAATATATAATCAAATAAGTTCTAGTTAATTATATTTTATTTAAAAAATATATCATTTAAGTACAAAATATTTAACATGTTATTTGTTGAACAACAAATTAGCTTGTTTATGAACGCTAATAAACAAGTTGGACTATGTTTAAAAGTTTATTTAACTTTCGAGTAAAAAAAAATGTTTGATATTATTCATTAACTAATTTAAACAAATATGATCGAGTATTAATCGAGCCGAGTTCGAGTTGAACATCAAGTGCATTAGTTTTTTATAGTATGAGCTATCATCCACCAAAATATTGTATACTTTGGCTAAACAAGCCCTAGTGTTTACCTTTTGATATCATTCCCAATTCCCTAGATAGCCAGTAATCTTAAAAGTGATCCAATTTGGCCATACTTGTAAAATTCTTAACGAGAATCCAAGTGCAATAGGAAAAGGAAAGGTGTCTTGATGTTTAATGGGTTGTTTATTTCAGGATTATAATTTAGCTTAAGCTAGACTAAGCTCATTAATTTTTCTAAAAAATTATTTTAAGATATTTTCTAAGGGGTCATTTGGGATCACTTTTATTTTTTGTTATCTATTTTTTCTGTTTAATTTTATTTAGGTTTTGATTTTAAACAAAACATGTTTGATAAGTTAAAATAAAATATTTTTTAAACACTCAAAGCAACTTGGTTAGTTAAAATAAAATATTTTCTTAAGCACCACATCAACTAAGAGTTTCTTGAGTGTATTTAAAAACGTGTTGATTTTTTTAAGATTAAAAAAACAACAACAAAAAGCCTTTATCCCACCATGTAGGGTCGAGTACATGAATCATTTTCCCCCATTGTGTCATATTGAGTGTCATATTTTTATTTAATTCTAATAAATTAAGATTATTTTTTTATACAATATGTCCGAGTTTTTTGAGGTCTACCTATGCATTTCTTAACATAATCTAAAACATCTACTCTTCAAACAGAATCATCAAATAGTTATGTTTAAACCATCTAAGACGGCTCTCTCTAATCTTATCCGTCGCTGGAGCTACACCAACCCTATCACGGATATATTCATTTTGCATTTTGTCTCTAAGTGTTAAGTCACTCATCCACCGAAGCATTCTCATCTCAGCAACATTTCTCTTTTAAAGGCCAACATTCTGCATCAAAGAGCATTGTAGGTCTTACCACCATCTTATAAAATTTTCCTTTTAGTCTAAGAGGAACTTTTCTATTACACAATAATAAGCTCGATGCATTCCTCCACTTCAACCAACTTGAATTCTACTAATAACATCCCATCTGTATCACCATCACTATAAACAATAGACCCGAGAAATATAAAATGTTCACACCATTTGATGATTTCATCACCCATAAAGAGCACTAAACAAATATGTATTATAAAGGAAAACAAAAATATATTGATCCCAAACAAGCCATAAACCTGCAAAGTTACTTTCTAACCTAAGCCAATACATTCCTTTCTTAGGGAGAGAAGCCATCTTTAGTTAAGCACAAAGAAATCCTTGATTGAGCACATTTGGCATTTCTCCTTTCTCTTCTTTTGTGAAATCTCCCTCCCTCCTGTACAAGCTCTTCATTGAGTGTTTTGGAGGATGATTCAAAATCCTCTTGCAATCATATGTTACTTGTGGTTTCCTTGTCTATGATCATCAATGGATATTGCTTAGGTTTGGAGAATCCTTCTCCTTATGTGCTTTTACCCTGATGCCTTCTTCTTCCTCTACAATTCCCACTGCGTAGCATTTGTGTGGGTACTTCTCGGTCCTCCAACAATTGTGACGTGAGCACCCTCCTCTGCAATCCTTATTGGCTAGGGTTTGAAGGGAATTTAAGTTTGTGTTTTAAAAGAAGAAAAATACAAAATTGATTAACACAATTAGCTTATATTTTTAACTACCAAACAACTCAACTCACTTTACAGCTGAAAATTTAAAAGCTTACAACTTATGTTCGCTTGGCTTATCCTCACTAACATTACAGAATAGGCAAAAAATAAAATGATCACAAGAGTTTTACTTCATCGGATATGACAAATTTTACAGCTACCGTAGTAGTAATTCAGAATTAGAGCAACCATTGAAGACGCTAGTAAAAATTCTGAGGGAGTTCATGGAGTGAAAAGAAAACCAAGGGCCCCGCTAGCTTCATATTTAAATTAAAAACTTCCATAAGAGAAACAAGTTTCTCCTTCCCAGAAGCATGAAAACTATGGTACAGAAGTCTGTGACTCCAGAGCACAGTACTATGAGTCGATCCCGAAGCACATATCACAGAATCCGAACGCAAAAAGAATCCAACATCCGGCTTTAAAATAACAAATTCAAACTAGCATCGCAATTATCAGATGAATCAAATGAATCCGCCATGATCATGTAATTAAACACTTAGACAATAGTTGATATCTCTATCAAAACCCTTTCCATACATCCAATCCTCTTCCACTCAAAACTAAGCATTGGCCGCCAAAATTAAAGCTTCTTGAACACAAATCTCAGGTTGCATATGCCAACCCTAACAGCAATCTCCAAATAAGCAACACAAATAACTAAAATAGGAGAAAAGGTAAAAGTAAAACCCTACTCTTAAACAAGCAAGAACCAGATCCAAGCTAGATTATCTAATCCCCAATAGAAAGCATAAAGCCCATGCGAATTCGAGCTGAATCAGTACAATAGCATAAAAGAAAGCTAGAAAGCTTGAACTGCGGAAGTTCACCTGAATCAAGGAAGAAGAAACCCCGCCAACCCCGAGAGGAGGAAGCTTGGCGCTACAGTAATTGCAGACCCCTGGGGGGGTTCAGAGAGAGGAGCGTCGGTTTGCGTTAGTGGGCCGATTGAAAACTAATTGAAACTTTAACTAACAAGGCTTGTTAAAACTGTGAAAACGTCAAAGACATAATCCAAAGATTCATATGTTGTAGAGGCATTTACATAGATGCCATATAATTCTTATGTATTTACATATCTAATCATAAATAAATGTATATTTACATTCATTATACTAATGCAATATCACATCAAAAATATCATTGCAGCAAACTTTATCAAAATAGTTCATATTTTCATGCACGGGTCGATGAAACCAAAGTATTTTAAATGTTGTTGAATTCGAATCTATCATATGAATCACACTCAAAGAATAAAGTATAGTACAGAAGAGAGAGAGAGAGCATTTGTGTGTGTGTGTATGTGCATGGCAATGAACAGTAGTATATGATAGAAAAAATTGGGACCTGTAGCTCTTGAGTCAACCAGCTAGGGCCCTGCTTTCTACACGGCCAACCACCTTGGTTGGCCACCCCTCTTTCAGCGGCTAGCCGCCTGCCTATGGCTGGCCACCACCCATCTTCCAGTCGGTCGACCACCACCAAGCAGCTGGTCTGACCACCTATGGTCGACCATTACCGAGCAATCAGTCGACCAACCGCTTTCAATCAGTTGGCCAACTATGGTCGGCCACCACCTCCATACTCTCTCAACGGCCACCTTGGCTAGCTACCTAAACCCTACAAGCCTCACCGACCGAAAGGTCCATAATACAAATCTAAGCGAGTAAATGACAAAAAGAACATGTATTACAGACGAGGAGTAAGACTTATGTTTGGCAATATCATATCTAAAAATCTACAAATCGACTGACGATCTTCTAAAAAATCATGTCGTCAATCAACACATAAACAATTGATACAAAAAGGAGACAAAATGTCAGCTAAAAAACTAAGGTATTATAGCTAGTGATTCTCTGAAATTCTATTTTATGTATTTTAAGTCTCTCGTTCTTGTTACAGGTTCATTTTCAAGAAGTAAGAGACTTGGGGGCTTCATGGATTAGAGAAAATATTGGAACATGTAAATTTTCATTCAAATAGTTGGAGTTCAGCTTTCCAACCAGTCGGCCACCTTCGTCGGCCACCCATCTTCTAGTCGGTCGACCAACTATGACCAGCCACCACCCATCTTACATTCAGGTGACCCCCTATGGTCGGTGACCACCAAGAAGCCGGCCTGGTGACCTAAAGTTGAGTATTACCAAGCAATCGACCAACCACCTATTATCGATCACCCCCTTTTAACTAAGTTGTCGCCTATGGTCTGCCACCACTTTCAACCCCTCCTCCGGTCTCCCCCAGCCACTTGAACCCAACTATCCCTATCAACCGAAAAGGTCCAGAATGACAGATCTGAATGAGCAAAAGATGAAAATAACTTGTATCGCCCTCCTTAAAGTAAGGGTAAAAATGAAATATTATATTATCTCTTATTATATTATATAAATAGATAAACCATGACATGTATTGAAGACTCTTGGGATCTTCTCTCTGAACCTCTAATGTAGGGAGAGCTCTCTCCCCTTCCCCTCTTGTATAATCACCATATAAGTGAAATAAAAATGGGGTCAAAGAGCCCGGGGACATCCTTCTTTGCCCCTACAGTGCAATTTCTCTTCCTATTTATCTCTCTCCTTGGGTCCCTACGCTCCATCCCTTAGGCATGATCAAATAGTTTTGCATACAACAAGTAAAATGAGGGAATTGTGTTACCCTTTAATCATGAAATGATCCCTTATGTATATACAAATAAGGTGCACTATGTAAAATTACAGGTATGCCCTGGTTTGAGTAGCAATTGTACATGTTATTCAAAGTATTTCACTCTTGTTGGCCCTGGGCCTTACTGTTCTCAAGTTCGGTTAGAAGGTCTTGATAGGTCGGCATTGTCGGTCGATTGTGCTACCAAAGTTTTGGCGGGTGTGCAGTTGGGGAGCAAGCAACTCAGCTTATAGTGCTACAAAGTTAAATGTGTAAAGGCTACTAGCCAACTTTTCTTTTACTGGTCGGGAGTCGATAGACCTGATTGGGCAAATCTATCGATTGACATGTATTATAGTGGTTTACTCTTAATCCTCATTAAATAACTCTTGCCGACAAGAATAAGCTATGCTATCGGGCAGAGGGTAAATCACCATAATCCGACATGTAATTTGGCCTTAGGTGAAGCGATATTGGTTGGCTCCAGCATATTAGTAAGATCTCATGGGTTGGTCCCTTCTTTAGATCTGACTGCCTCAGAATACTAAGTTCAGATTATCATTTTCTTTGTGACTGAGTGAGCCACTCGGCTCATGTCACGTATTCATCTTTGTAATAGTTAGTTTTGAGTTTGGTTCATCTAGTTGGGTGTCTGGGTCCCTCATGCCTTCTGTTGTGGGTCTCTCTCTTGTTATTATTTTTTTTTTTTGGACCATCGGATTTTCTCGAGATTTGTGTTGACAAAATTTCAGTATACAAATGTATATATCAAATTTTACTTGTTAGATATGTAAATAAAAATAATTGTGTGGTATATATAAAAATTTTCCTATGTTTTAATTTATTTGATTAAAGTCAATGATTCGTCAAATTCTTTTATTAAGCATAATTGGTGGATATTCTCATAAGAAAATAGACATTTGGAAGAAATCAAAATGTTACCTCAATTTTAGTAATTATAAATTGATATTGCTTCTTATTTAGCTTGTGGGTTTATTAAATTCTATTTTATCATTAGATGTTATGCTTATAAATAATATGATCACAAGAGCATATTGTTTGATTATTTACATAATAAATGTTTATCATTGTATATGATGTTTGTATTGTGACGTGAAATGTGAAAACCATTATTTTTTTAAGTTTTTATTTTACAAAAAAAAAATAAATTAAAATAAAAATATTAGGTGTGACTTCGCTTATATGACAAAAACTTTAAAATTGTCACAAATTAGAAATTGAATTATTCCTACATCTTTTTATGCCCTATCACTCAACATTTTCAAAATAAAATAAATAAAAATATAATAGTTAAACTTAATCATAAGTGATGGGCACCAACACATTTAGCATTTATGGATTGCAAAAACACTTATTATAAAATTTATGTCATATAAAAGTGAAATTATTAACATTTTTTAATAACTAAATAATGCAATCATATGAACATATAGATTTAAGAAAATTTATTTAGTCTCCAATAGTAGAGTACGTATTATAATAAATTATGTAAATTAGTGTGGTGCAAAATGGAGGTATTTCTTACTATATCTAACAGAATATCCTACAAAAGAAAAAAAGAAATAAAAAACTTATAAGAATAAACGAGAATACACTTTATTTAATCTAGAAAAAAAATGTAGTCAATTCTATCATTTTTTTTTATTGAATTTCTTAATAAAATAACTTTCTTGTAACTGCAAGGAATATAGTAATACTTTCATTTGAATAGTTTCATTTCTATATGAAGAAAAATTTATTAAACTTCTATTTTTTTGTTGTATTTTTTTATGGAATAAACAAGATTGTCTGTAAATAGGAATATAAATAAGTACTTATTGCTTTGATAAGCCCAACATGAACTCATTATGATTGAGAATCAAAAACCTTACTTTGATACTTATTAAACTCTTAAAATAATAAAAAAAATCAAATACTCAAATCCAATCACGTAGTCAAAAATAAATATCCTATCATTTTTTGTAGAGAATAACACATATTTTCAATACTTGGTACCCAATAATAAACTTTTAAAAAATAATGAAGAGTATGATTTTAGTCTTATAAAAGCTATCAATATAAAATCTAATATAAAAAAAGACCACAAGTTCTATTATCATTGATTTTCTACTTATAAGAGCGTGTGATTGCCAATGATTGATAGTGTCGCAATTGGGAAGAATAATTTCATGATCAAGTATTGATTTCATTAAATTTCACATATAGTCATCAATATGATGTGCAAAATCAGCCAAGCAGGAAAGACATGAGAATTGCATTATTATGAGGCAAATTCACTTATAAGTCAATCACAAACATTCACATAGAGAGAAAATCAAGGGATTATGTATTCTCATGGCCACTATCCCTTACATACATGTAATACTCAACCAAACATGAAGGTAAACAAAAAGTCCAATAGTTATGTCAACTTAACTTCCAATTATAGCATGGGATGTCTGTAACATTAAGAAATTCATTGGATTGTATTATTTTCATGACACTCCGCTTTCCCATTATGAAGAATTCAAATAAGTCAATCCAAAGAATAATTATTATTTTCACACTTCTGCTTATTAAATGTGATGTGATAAAAATCAAGAATATTTGGAATGAATCATATGTTGCAATATCTTTTGTCAAAATTAATGTAATCCTTTCTCTATGCATTTATTTTATTAATGAAATTTTAATTAAAAGGGTATAAATATGTGCCACCTTTATAGTATAATAGATTTGAGCGAGTCATGTATCGAGAATTACTTAAAAATATGATAAGAGGAAGAATTTGTGGTTTTATGCTACTAAGAGGTTAGGACTTCCTATAAACTATATTTATAATATTTCTTTGAATAAAGTCTCACTTATTCTCTTCAATTGGCGCTAGAAGAGCTAACATTGCATATTCAATGATACTTGGGATTGATTGGTCCTAGTATTCCTTTAATTTGGATTAGGCATGTTATTATCAACCTCGACATTTGAAGTTCACCATAATAAAACTCTTTGTTTGATCTTCAAGTTTCTCCTAGAAAAGTTTTAAACATCCCTCCATATCAAGTGTAATTTAATTTCCTTCTTATATCAGTTATAGGACCTCCCTAACACAATCTTGCTAAAAACAATATCCCAACCCTTTGGTCAATTTGATCTTGGATATGGCTTTAGAAAGAATATAAGATTGTATTAGTTCTAACAAAGTTCATAGTAAGAGCCTTATGGTCATTCAATTCCATTCCAGCTTTATCAATATGTCTGACCTCAATTAACATGTTATTAACTCTAATTGGTCTCGATGGACTCAATTGATGGTATAGGAAATCAA